CCCCTCAGAAGGGAGTCACCCACCACAATTACTCTCCTTTCCTTCTTGATTGAAGAAGTCCTAAGGACTCGAGGTGACTGATGAGTCCTAGGCACTTCACTAGGTAAGTTTACCCCTCCAACTTCATTTTCCTGTCCCTGAATTTCCAACGCCTTGTATCTATTCTTCAAGGGCAACTGAGAGGGTGGAAGGGGTTGGGAGGATTTTTTCTTGCCTCTTCGAGGTCGGACCTCCTTCCATTCCTCTCCATTTGCTGGTGACAGGAGGGGAGAGGATCTGTCACTTGCCCAACCTCTTCTATCTGCCCCTGCCTCAGGGTTTGACTCCACACCTACGGTGCGTAGCTGTCTCGTGTGAGGAGCACGACTAATAAATAACCCAATACGACAGCTACCGGCACGGCATTGATTTTGACCCAAGCTTGGCACAGGTTGGAGATGTGAACATGACACGATAATGACTGTTGTGCTTCTATAACCCATCTCATCTGGGATATAGAGTATGTGTACAGATCATCACAAATTTAGTCCCCTTAATGATTTGTGAAATTTTGTTGAACCTGTTTTGCATGTTCAGCCCCATATATTTTTAATTGGGTATTTAGAAAAGTCTTTGCTCTACACACTAAAATTTACTGGCTGCTTTATCACTGGAATGAGTTGAATGTTTCTAAACTTGCTTTTGTAGCTTTTCACCTCTGCTATTCTCACCTACCTGTGAGAGAATCAGAGATTATCAGCTAAGATATGGAGCTTTAGTAGACTTACTTATAAAATAACTTCCAGATGGAAAAAAAATAATCACCACAGCTCAGAACATGGTGCTGAAGATTCAACATGTGTCCCTTTTCCCTCCTGAGTTAGCATCCACTTAGTTAGAAGCAGTGAATCCAACATCCAACTGTTACCTGTTTTGTTGATGGAAATTTAAAAAAATAATTATTAAAAAAAAAAACAACACACAAAACCCAAGGTCCTGAAAACTGGATTAGTTCTGTGTCTCTCCACAAAGTAATAGGAAGGAATTTGAAGCCTCCATAATGCTTTGAAGAGAATCAGCTTTTATGTTTATAAACAGTGAACATTTGTATAGGTGTAGCAGTGAAACAGACTGTTGTTTTTTTGCACATAGAGTGCTGCTCTCACATCTTAACAAATATTTGAATGTGGTATACAAATATAGATAATTCTAAGGAGCATGTGAAACAAGATGCTGCAAGAACAGTTTGTGATTTTCAGTGTGTTACATAGATGCTAGCTGTGAAAATGTCTTTCACTTAGCTATCTCCTGGTCCCTGACAAAGATTTGCCCTGGAATGTCACACATCCCATTTCATGGGAAATTGTAGAGTAGAAATTGTCCCCTTCTTCCAGTTCACCCAATTTAAACAGCTTTTGTAACTTCAGTTTAAAGGTTTTTCGCTTCTCTCAAAAAAACCCAACCCAATCAAACAGGGACCACTTCCTATTTCTTTTAAATACCAGTATTTTATGGGATAAAATTTGTTTTGTCTGTTGTCTGCTAAGCTGCAGGTTTTATTACAGAAGCTACAGAAGCTAAGCTTAGATTCTAAATATTGCACACCACATGTGTTAATCAGAAATCTTTAACAGTCTTAATTGCAGAAATATTTTCAAGGTTCAGTGCATATTAACTGCCAGAGCAGTTATTGGATGATTTTTTCAGTTTTCCTTCTTGAAGATTAGGAATTTGATATTACTGGTAAGCTGCAGAAAGCATAGTCCTCCATCATCCAAGAAATCACATGGAAATAATGGGCCATGTCCACCTACAATTCCATCTTGCATCAAAGCCCAATCCCATTCCATTCCAGCCATCCAGGTATTGCACAGCAGCTTTAAACAGGACACGTGGGAAGTCAAATGCAGAATCACAGCAAAATATTTGCTATTGGAAACTTGAAGGAGACCAAATTCAAGGAAGCAGACGAGAAAGATAAATATTGGCATCTATATGTGGCCAACTTCCTATTATTGAAAGGGCATTGAGGGTAAGTTTGTACGTTGCCTGTTTTATCACCAAAGCATATCTTCAGGTGGTGACAGCTAGCAGATGAGTAGGGATGATAGTTTTGTTCAGAGGTGCTAAAGTCAATTAAGAACTTAATTGTGTAATAGCCTTAAGTTCTGAAATGCTTTGTTGTTTGTAAGTTGTTAAGAAGCTTAAACACGTCAGAATTCTCAGCTTTCCATTCATTTCCATGTAGGGACACTATCTTGAGTTAGATCCACCACGGTAAAAAGTAACAAATAAAAGAGAATCTGGAAAGTTAAATTATAGCTTTGAGAGACCAGAAGAATTGCTTATCATAAAGTTCTTTCTTAGCTCATCTTTTGAGAATCCAATATGTTACAAGGAAGAACATCCTGAGGGGCAGGGTTTTCTGCTAGAAAGGCATGATGCTCACATCATGTTATGACACGTAGTGACGAGTGTGCTGTTTGCTAATTAGTCGTATCGTCTGGGGTTCCAAGGCACACCAGCTGCAGAAACATGTTGCTGAACCTTGCGTATGGGAATTCTATGTTTTGAGCAATGTTGCAATGCCTGACAGGAGACAACAGCGTGTGGAGAGATTCTTGATTAACAGTCCCACCTCCTTTAAAAACTGGCTGACAAAGGTAGTGCTGTTCTCCTTTTTCACACTGTCTGCATATGTTCTTAGTTTTTCAGTGTGCAATTTCCTTGTGTTAAAATGCATACTTTTAAAGATAACTGCATTTACAATTATTTTCAGGCTGGAGATGGAAGCATACACCTGTGAAGAAAATACTTGCAAAACATTGCATGAAGGTGTTTTGCAGGCTAATCTATTACATTGCTTTTTAAGCTGGACTTTGCTTTGCAGATTAGAGAACAGTGGCAGGACAAATAAAAGCAAAATTCTTCTTCAAAAAGTGCCTCAGTAAATAAACTTCCCCATCTTAGTAAGAAATTCTTTACCACATGAATAGTTGATTACACTCTGTTGGACAGGTGTTTCTTATTGCTGTTGGTTCATTGCTATTACTAGTCTCCATTATAGTTAAGGAAGGGCAAGTCTGTTCTTTCATATATCTTTTTCAGAGGACTTGACTTTGTGCAAACCCATTATACCAATGAAACTTATAGCAACATACGGCTGAAGGCAAAACTGCCTGCTACTACTGTGATGCAAGAAAATCAGGTTAAACATCAGTGCCTAGAGCTCTTTGAAGACATGGAAAATAGGAAAAAAGTAGCTTATTTTTAATTTGGCAGCAGAGCACTCTGTTCACTCCAGGAAACTCTAAACAGGGAGTATTTGCAGAGTTTCCTATCAGTTACCATACCACAGGTACCAAAGAAATGAGAGTGAGGACTTGGAAGCACCTGGCCCCAAATTCTTACTTCCTTTTCATAACTTTTAGGGCAGTCATAACTAAATCTGTTGGAAAATCTAGGGGATATGCAGGAAGGGACTCTGTGATGAATTAGAAATAAACTGTAAAATATTTTTAATATCTTATAAATAAACACACCAAACTACAGAGCACAGAGGCATGAAAAGTTTGTAATGTCTAGATTTTTGGTTTTATTTCAGCTCATTCAGACAAACAAATTGAAACATTATCCCAGCATCCATGGAGACTTCAGCAATGATTTCAAGCAGCCTTGTGTTGTGTTCACTGGACATCCCTCTCTGAGATTTGGAGATGTAGTTCATTTCATGGAGCTATGGGGAAAATCTAGCTTGAACACTGTTATATTCACAGGTAAGTAAAATGCAGTTATTGTTATCAGATTAACAATACATTCTGCACTCTGGTCAAGTGTGGCCACATCCTAGGGGCTTTATTCATTTGTTCTGAGGCAGAAGTTTCTGACTTCAGTGGGAGCTCATCTAAATTAAGACCCTAGGATTGACTGTAGGGACTAATGTAATTATTGTACCATTTAATTCATTTTAGCCCTGCAGAGCCAACCTTTGCCTTGCAGAGTTCCTTTCTGCCATTTCTAAGCAAAATCTTTGTTACTCACAGCAGTAAAGTGCCTACAGGAAATTAATTTTTGGATTGAGAGCAGCTGGTTGCAAGTTAAACCCAGGCAAGACCTAATTGATGCTGGTCAGAAAAGAGAAGCACTTCTCCATATTCCATTTGAATCACAAACCTTTCCTCATCTTTTCTCCTGCACTTTCATTAAAACTTCAGGGAACCAGACAGTCTAAAGATGTTTCTGTCATCTCTCCTGTTTCAGAAGTGTGCATCCCATACAGGCCTGGCAGTAGTCATCTATGCCATGGTTGCCTTTTGTCTAACCTTTTTTTTCAGATGCTTTTTGGCTGACGGACACATTTGAATCTGAAGCTGAAAGTACAGCTCTTGCTGATACCCTGAGGTGTTGTTTCCTTTCTCAATGACTCAGGCTGCCAGGTGCACAAAAGGTCTTTTAAATTCCTATACTTATTCCAGTCTGCTTCTAGACTCTGCTTTTCATGGATTTAATTAATCAAGCCCTATCCACCTCAGAATGAGCTATGGTTTGAGAGCCACAGGGCACCTGCATCCTAGGCCCATGCCAATCATGAACAGCAAGACAAAGTAGAGAGAACATGAAAGCTCTTGTGAAATGTAGCAAAGGGCATATATCTTCCAGAGTTCCATCTCCTTTAACAATACTTCAAGGCCTTCCCTCAAACTGATGTTCTGTCCAGGTGCCTCCTTTTTATACCCAATATGTCATCCAAACAGAACCCTACAGTGGGCACTCTTCAGATGTAAGAAAGAAAATAATCCTCTAGGCCATAGCTGCTGATTTTATGTATCATGAGCTCTGGTATAACTGGGAGATGTGTTATATATAACTCAGCTGGATGAAAAAGGAATGGATTTTGGACTAGGACAAAGTAATTAGAAAAGGGGTGGGGAACGCTGAGTAACTGACCAAACCTATTTCCACAGCAAGGATGTGATGGAGTCCCACTGTTAAGCTTATTTTCCTCCTCTTTTTAGTGAGTAGGACTGCTGGAATGCAGGTAGCCTCCTAAAGCAAACGGGAATGGTAATGGGTTATTTCTTTCCATCTTAATTTCTTTTACTGTAGATTTGAGGATAGTGATGGGCAAGACCTTTTCATTCTTTCACAATATTGGTACTCAAAAGCATTGCAGTATCATGATACTGTTAAACCAAGTTGGAAAGTTTTAAAGAAGTATGTAACTAGCTCTACTGCAAGGGGAAGGAAGATTCAAGCTTCTGCTGAGCTGATAAGACTTAAATCTAGATTGTGATTATGCTGGGAAATGGTGCCTTGTACCACAGCACAAGTGTCCTAACTGTTACAGTACCTATCACTCCTGCCCTTTGAGGTAATTTCAGGAGATATGCCCTAATTACAGTAATTGGTAAAATTGCCAGATATGAATTGTCATAGAAATAGCGAATTCTAATCCAGCGGGGACATCAAATAAAATCAGGATGTGTACACTCTGCTGAGTTATGTATTTCATTAATTCCTAGGAAATCAGTGGCTTTAATCATGTGAAGGTGCTACCCACTATCAGTAAGGGTTTCAGAAACTGGCCTTTAATGGAGAGAACACTTATTCTTTGCCTTCTTATAGGGAGAAGTAATTGACCTTTCTGTATTAAAGTGTACCCTTCTGTGAAATGAGGAAACAGAGCAGACTTCTATTACAACAGGGCCCTGGCAAGTTGTTAAGGCATCTAAATGGCAATTGTAACAACCTGTGGATACATTAGGTCATAACCTTTGATATTCATGGTTTATATTTCAAGTGAAACCACAGCTGAGATCTGCTTTGATTGTGATGACCTTAGAGTGCACAGTGATTTCAGGTGCTGGTGGTGGTTTGTTTCCTAAATTCTTCTATCTGTGGCTTTTGGACTCTGTCTGTGTCTATAGGCATATGCATTTGGCAGGATGTTCCTACTGCTTTATGACTGTCTCAGCTGGAACAAAGACATCTATGTCTACAGAAATTCCTAGCAGATTGAAGGCTTCTGTTCTTAGGAACTGCAGTAGAAATCTGAAGTTGAATCCATTGATGCCCGGGATTTCAGTTATTTCATTATTTAGCTTCTCTTGTTTTAGTATAAAATCTCCTGTAGTTATGAAAGCAATTTGGTCCATTGAGGCTGTATCTGATAGCAGATGATGTGCAAGCTTTTCCAGTGAAAGGCTCCCAGTTTCTAGTAATTAGGACCTTTAAACTACAGGCCATGCAGTATTGTTAATGATGACACTGCTTGTTCAGTCCACAGGAGCTATGTAATCTCCACCTTTCCAATTTGTTATATAAAAAACAACTACAAGAGAACATAAAACACCAGCTGTGAGTAAGCTGCAGTGCTGCTCTGCTTCCTTGTGTCATCTAGAAATGTTACTGTGGAAGCAGTATTGAATAGATGATTGATTAAAAATATTGAATACCATTAAGCCACAAAGACATTCTAGAAGAAAACACAGCAGAAAAGAGGTCTGCTTCTTGCTCTCTCTGCTAACAACAATGCTGTAAAACCAACTCCCTAGGAGATCTTAAAAACAGCTCATGCATCCCACATTAGTGCTGTACAGTGGAAGATTTTATAACTCGCTGTCACACAGTAGTAAATCAGATGTCTTGGGGGAAAAGCTAAAGACCTGTAATTCTGTCAGAAAAAGTCAATATGTGTCCTTGACAGGCACTGTTTTCTATCAGACAGGTGACTTCTGGGTTTTTGGTAGTTTCAAAGCAGCTGTTCATGCATTTCACACGAGTTCACCATGAGACTAGCTCAAGTGATGTTTTTACATGTTCTAAATCTTCAAAGTCCCGTGTTAGAATTCCTTCATTAGAATTTCTCTCTCTTCCAAGGCTCTTACATTTTTATTAGTTCTTCTGAGACTACAGGCTGGATGCCATTTTGGATTGTTCAATCAAAAAATCCACATCTGTACATTATCTGAGCCTACTGATTCAAAAATACTTAGTCTGAATACGTGCTGCCTCATGACATTCTCAGATACAAGCAGTCAAATCTCTGTGTCATCCACAACACCAGACAGGGCAGAAAAACTCTTCTGATAACTTTTTAAACATACTATTTGCAGTTTAATTTTGATGTCTCTAGCAGATAACCTGTGCCTGACTTCAGTTTTCCTGTTTTCCCCAGTGAGTTTTAAAATATCTTCTGATTTAGCCCAAATTGGGCACTGATCTTTCTTCAACTAGCTACGTTCTCAGTATTGGTTTTTTTTAAACTTGTATTAATTATTATTAAATTCAAGTGTCATTAACTCCCATTTTTTACATGGATATTTTTAGGCTTTGTTTCATTGCCACTAACACATCTGCTTTTACCAAGTATGGCTTTTTGCTCAGTATAATTTTTATTTTATGTTTTTAGATTCATGGCTTTTGGGGTAACTATCGTTTTTTTTAGTATTTCTCACTTTGATGTTCCCAGGCAGTATTCTGACAATTGCTTTAAACTTGGGAAAATTATCCCTTTGACAGTTCCAAACATATGTATCATTGGCTGATGCTGTATTCTGTTCTCCCAGGGTAAATATAACCACATCATCATCACTGATACTTAGCCAGCAGCAGATTTTTAGGCTAGCAATTAACTTGTCTTTATCAGTACAATGAGACCCAATACTGAATGTCGGATGCCTTGCTGTGTGCTGAACTTCCTGTTGTAAAGTTTTAAGGACATTTTTCTTGCTGTCTACATAAGAAATCCAGCCAGTGCTCTCCTCAGGGTGATTTAAGAACATAGGAAATTACTGTCTAAATCTGGACTGAAGTCTCTGTATGAAAGTTCCCTTTAAGTTCATCTTTTTACACAGCCCGAGCAGATACCAGAGAAATACCTCTTACTGTTTTCTAGCAAGGCTTAGTGGTCTGCAACTGTTGTTTCACTTTGCAGGTTGTTCTGAGGTCTTGTGGTTCAGAATAGTCTGGAAGATTAGTATTCCATGCATCTCCTTCTCTTTTGCTCATTCTGTACTTAGCAAGCTAATACTAGTTGATCTTTTTCTAGCATTTCCTTTATGCAATCCATCCCAGAGTTATCAGGTAGATAGTGGTGTCATAAGCTTTTCCACATGATTAGTTGATGGCCCCCAGAATCAAGTGGCTACATGTATCCTACGTTGTGCCACCTACGAGACCTATGGTTTTCATTCACCAAAAAAAGAGTAATTTTCTGTAGTATTCTTAATGGTGCAAATCCTCCTGGAAACTGTCACAAGTCAATTGAAACATCTGATTGGGAAAAGCCAACATAGATTTACCAGGGGCAAATCGTGCTTGACAAACCTGATTGCCTTCTACACTCTACAAAAAGTATGCAGACAGGCTGGAGAGAGTCCAGAAAAAGGGCCACATGGATGATCAGAGGACTGGAGAACCTACCATATGAGGAAAGGCTGAGAAAATTAGGTTTGTTCAGCCTTGAGAAAAGAAAGCTTTGGGGAGACATTATTACCATGTTCCAGTACTTAAAGGGTGGCTACCAAGAAGATGGAAAGTCCCTGTTTACAAGGACTCACATGGAAAAGACAAGGAGTAATGGGCACAAGTTGCTCCTAAGGAGATTCTGATTGGACACAAGAGGTAAACTTTTCACCATGAGGACAGTCAAACATTGGAATAGTCTCTCAAGGGAAGTGGTAGTTTCGCCCATATTGAACAGTTTTAAGTTTCATCTTGACAGGGTGCTGAGCCATCTCATATAAACCATAGTATTACCTAAAAAGGTTGGACCAGATGATCCTTGACATCCTTTCCAACCTGGCATTTTATGATTTTATGATTCTACGTTGTATTACTCTCTGTGTGAATAAAAGCCCATTCAGTACATGACTTTTCCCTGGCAAACCTCTAATCTGATTTTTAAAAGTCAATAATAAGAGTACAAGGGGAAGTTGCGACTTGCTAGGTCTAATAAAGATATGAACTAATGAAGTGATTACAGCTTGTCCCTCCTTCTGGATGGCCTCTACCATGAGCAACCTTCAGTTCATACTGGCCTGAACTAGAACTGCCAATTGCTTGTCCCTCCAACAGGAGAGCTGCCTATGGTTCCTCCTGGGTTATATTACAGTAGGACCCATCGGTCTAAACTTGGCACTTAGATTAAAAATAATTATATATATACTGTAAGGAAGAAGAGGAGTTGGGAGGTAATGTGTCTGCAGCAGAAGACACTGATACAGGTTTCTCAAGATACAGTCTTCGTGCTGTGTGTTTGCAGTACTGAAAAACAAGCTGACATTTGGGTTACCTTTATGATACCAAAAATGTATACATTATGTCTTTTTTTACAGGATTTGATTAAAAATAAGAGATGTTTTTGTCTTGATTAAGTTTGTTATAAAAGTCAAGCTAGAATGTGTTCCAATGAAATACTATTGCTCTCTTGCTTGATTAAGGTAAAACTTAATTGTGAGTGTAATTTTCATCAAATTAACTGAAAATAACAGGTGGGGGAAGGAAGAAAGGAAGAGAAAATTGTAGTGGAATTAACATTGCTGAACAACAGCTTGTCTAGACTAGAATGTGGAATCAGAGAGGAATTGAGCCACCTTTGTTCTTATTAGGCATTCAATGTTTTCAACCTTTCTCTTTTCAGAACCAGATTTCTCTTACCTGGATGCCCTGGCTCCTTATCAACCTTTGGCGATGAAATGTGTTTACTGTCCCATTGACACAAGACTGAATTTTATTCAGGTGTCTAAACTGCTCAAAGAAGTCCAGGTAAGGATTACCCCAGCCCATGTGCAGGACTATGACTGGTGATACTGAAGTGGTGAATAGATACAAATTTAGGCATTGTTACTCTGAGTACAAAGGAGAGACTGCCTGCTCCTTAACAGTTTGTTCCAATCCTGACTGGATGTTCTAGATTACATCTTTTGAATGTTGTTTTCACACAAATAAATTAGCTTGCTAACAACAACCTGCAAACCTCCTTACAGCAACTATTACTGTTGTAGGGCAGTGCGCAGAATCAACCAAACATTTTTTTTAAGTCCTCACTCTCCTTTTCCAGCCTCTCCATGTAGTTTGCCCGGAGCAGTACACTCAGCCACCACCCACCCAGTCTCATCGCACGGATCTGATGATAGACTGCCAGCCTCCCCCCATGTCCTACCGCAGGGCAGAGGTGCTGACCCTTCCCTACAAGCGGCGCTACGAGAAAATCGAAATCATGCCAGAAGTGAGTAACACAAGCAGGGAAGAAGATGGTGGCTTCTTGGCTCATACAGCCAAATTCAAACTGCTACTTCAGTAGCCCGTTTGACTAAAGTATCTTGTGGCTGTGGTTTACTATTGACTGTGATATTGTAATGCACTTTTGATGAAATGTATGGCTAAGAAAAGCATTTCTGAGAGAGAATTTCACTGTGTAAACTAATAGGAATTGGAAAAGAGCCACCAAGCTGGTGAAGGGTCTAGAGAACAAGTCATTGTAGGAGTGACTGAGGGAACTAGGGATGTTTAGTTTGGAGAAGAGGAGACTGAGGGGAGACCTTATTGCCCTCTACAACTACAAGAAAGGGGGTTGTAGGGAGGTGGGTGTTGGCCTCTTCTCCCAAATGAGTAACATCAGGACCAGAGGAAATGGTCTGAAGTTGCAGTGCGGGAGATTTAGATTGGATATTAGGAAGAGTTTCTTTACTGAAAGAATGGTCAGGCACTGGGACAGCCTACTCAGGGAGGTGGTTGAGTCACCATCCTTGGATGTATTAAAGAAACGTGTAGAAGAGCAACTTCAGAGCATGCTTTACTGACCGAGATTGAAGGTTGTGTGTTGTAGGTTTTTTTGGGGTGTGGTTTTGTGGAGTTTTGTGGTTTGGTTTGGTTTTGGTTTTGGTTGGATTTGGTGATCTCAGAGGTCCTTCCAACCATGACTATTCTGTGATTCTGTAAAATAAATGTTGTGGCCAAGTGGCTAATATGTTCAGGCTAATTATCCTTTGCAAGGGTATATCAAATCACAGAGTAGTTGGGGTTGAAGGGACCTCTGAAGATCATCTAGTCCAACCTCCCTGCTAAAGCAGGATCACCCACAGTAGATCACACAGGAACACGCCCAGAGGGGTTTTGAATGTCTCCAGAAGAGACTCCACAACATCTCTGAGCAGCCTGTTCCAGTGCTCTGTTACTCTCACGGTAAAGAAGTTTTCCCTTACATTTAACTTGAACATCCTATTCTGCAGCTTGTGCCCACAGAACAAAAGTCAATCTCTGCTAGGCATCTGTGAGGCAAGCCGGTCATCTCCAGTTTAAATGAGTAACTAGAGGCACTGAAGTTTGAATGTATGGCCTTGTAAAGGACCCAGTGAGTCTGGGAGTTAGTAGCCAGGAGTTGCCCTTCTCCTTCCCCAGCTGTACCTGCCATGAGAAATACCCTTTCCCTTGAGGAGCAGTATTCAGTCATGTGGTAAAGGCATAGTAGTGAAATGGCTCATTTGTGTTACAACAGTTTCAATAAATGGTTCATTCTTACAAACTGCTGAAGTGCAACAGGTTAATGGGTTGCTTCTAGCCATCTGTAATGTGGAGTACTTATGCCTGCAACATCTATTAATAATTTATTAACCCCATAAATTAAATATAAATGTACCCATAATACAAAGGGTGAGCCATACTCCAACAGACATGATCTTAAAATATTTTTTGACAAACCAATCAGCACAAATGTGTCCTTGGATCAAAGGTGATAGTGGCTTTTTACAAGTAGGCATTACTGCCCTTTAGAAACTGTTGAATATGTGAGTCTACTTTTAAACAGAGAGTAGAGGGAGGAAATACTCTTAGTTAAGCCAAACATGAATCACAGAGCTGGTACCCGTGTAAAAAAATCCCTCAGCCACTCTGCAACACTCATTCCTACCATTTTGTTTGTGTTTCCTTTGTGCATCAGTTCTGTTAGGAGCCTGCCCAGCCCTCTGGTTAGAGAACTGCCAGAGACAAGGAGGGATTTTTTTAGTGAGAAAGTATACTTGGATGCAACTCCATCATGGCATGTATATTTAATTGCTTTGGAAATTTTCATATTTATTGGATCTTATTAAACCTAAGACTAGTAAAAGGAGGTTTCTGTTCACCAGCATGACCAAACTAAATCATACCTTCTGAGTGCAGAGAGCCAGCACATAGTTTACCTATTATTTCGATTCCACTGAAGCTTTGGGTTTTCCCCTAAACTGAGAGGGTGTAAGTGAGCCTTTGTATGTGAGCCAATTCCTTGGGTCATCCCTATGAAGAGGGTGGATACCAGCTTTCCCTTCAAATAGAATGCCAGTAAGCACAGGTGCTACAGATGAATATTCACCAACCCTCATACATTTTGATGTTCCTGTCAAGCTGAAGGGCTGTCTAAAAGATAACTGGTCTAGTCGGTGTGAGTTGCAGGTTCAGCTTCTTGCTCTGTCAGCATCTTCATGAATGATCAGCACAAGTCTAAAACACAAACATGGCTTATGCTGGAAAGGGATAGTGAAAGGATACCGAAGACTACAGAGTTCCCTGGCAGAGCTTATTAGTCTGAAGGCAGTGATATGCTCATGGGGCTGGACTGCCACTGAAAACAAGTCAGGATTTCTCTTGTTAGACCTGCAGCAAGATCTCTTACCCTGTGGCTCAAGAGACCATGTGGATTCAACCGCACTGTCACCAACATGAAAATGCTATCCATTTCTCAAACTCAGACCTCCAGTGGTTTTTAGGTGATGTCTGTCACTGAAGTGAATGGATTCTTCCTATACCTCTAGGTAAAAACACTCCATAGAAATAAAGAGCACTTTCCAAAATTGTTGAAACTTTGGAGGGAGGATTCACTGTAGACAATGTGGTATTCACTAACCTGGGAATGGGTATCAAAGAAGCACATAGAAAATGAGAGCTCATTCTAATTGCATTAACTTGAGAGGGTTTCAGCAGAATACTGACAGAAATAGCCCTCTTTTCCCCTCTAACAAATAACATCAGGTTACTTTCACGCAGGAGCCCTAATTTCAAAGCTATGTGTATTCAAGGAGGAGGAGTATCTCATGCTTTTCCATGTCCAGGTATTCTCTCTGGTTCCAAACTTGTACTTAATAACTAGTTGTAAAAAGCTCCTTGGCATGTAATGACACTCCTGAAAGGGCTTTGTAAGATGATACAGAAATCAAGCAGACCAGATAATCTCTGAGACTTTCAGGAAAACTGTTGTCCTTCCCCACTGGTGACAGGGAGATAGTGTTTCCTTGCCTCAGTGGATTCTTTGAGAGCTAGACCCATTGGTGGTTGTGTGCTTGCTTCTCAAAGCAAGGATTTGGTTCAGGAATGCTAACAGGATGCCATTCCCCAGCACTGAGATATGCAAATCATCCCCAAAAAGAGATCTTACTTGTTATTTTTCAAGAGAACTTGCTAGAGGAATAGCAGCAGTGCTAAATTTGTAGTGATCACAGACTGTCTCCCCAGGACACTCTCTGTTTCAGCAGGTGTTCATCGCATCACCCTGTGAGGCTGGTTTTTGCTTCCAGCTTGACATGCAGAGTAGTAATAAGTCATGGGAGGGATGGTACATTGTCTCCCACCTTCTCTGACTTTGGTCTTTGAGTCTTAGCAGCATAAATGGTAACTGCTGAGATGTGTAACCTTAATCTCTCCTTCTCTGTCATAGAATCACAGGGTGGTTCATGTTGGAAGGGCCCTTAAAGATCATCTAGTCCTAAATCCCCTGCCATGGGCAGGGGCACCTCCCACTAGATCAGGTTGCTCCAACTCCCATCCAACCTGGCCTTGAACACTTCCAGGGATGAGTCAGGCACAGCTTCTCTTCTCACAACCTCTCCCAGTGTCTCTCCACCATTACAGTAAAGAATTTCTTCCTAATATCTGATATAAATCTACCCTAATATAAATCTAAGTGTTGTAACCAGTCACAACAGTTAATCCCGAAGGACCATTGTTTGGTTTGCAAATAAATGGGAGAAGGAGGAAAAGACTGACATTTTCTGGGACCTGTATGTCCTTTCGTGCTAACCCTCTAAATAAACATGATGTTATCTCCTTACCACCCCAATAATTTTTATGTGCCATCTGCATGACTTGCCTCACTCCCCTTTCCACCCTGTCTGTCCTGTCCTGCAGAGGGATTATTAGATGTTGGTTTTGAGAGCTGGATGGAAATGGCCTGTTGTTTTCAGGCAGGGTTTACCCAGTAGTGGCAAAAAGTATCTGTAACTTCCCCTTCTGCTGCGTGGGTTGTGCAATATAGGGTTGCAGATATGATAGATAAGGCTCCCTGGTGGAGAGTATTTGCTGCTTAATGTCTCCTTTTCTGTAGTTTCACCCAGGAAGAGTCTTTAATGGTGCCTAAATATATAGGAATTTCTATATTGCAAGGAAAGGGCATTTGTTTCATATGGGCTACCACCATCTCTGGGGTTCTGTGAAGGTTCGTGAGGTAGTTGGGAGAGATATTTTATAGCTCCTAGCAAACCTTGCAAACTCTTGTTATTTGTCAAAACCATGTTAGCCAAAATTGGAATTATTAAATCCACCCTGGGAAGAAAAGTGACTGCTAGATCTGCTCCAGGGCTAGGACTCGTGTCTGAAGTAAAGCTAGAAGTCTCATAAAAGAATGTCTGCTTCAATGAAGTCCTCACTGGGACCCTATCCAGGCATCCACAGTCATTTCTCAGAAGCAGACACGTGCTCAAACTTCTCTCTCAATTCTTAATGCTTTTGAAAACCAAACAGTTGGCTCAGCATGGTTTCAGGCAATACAGACTGACAGCATGATAGTGTGACATTTCCTTTCCAAAATTGTTTCAGTGGTTCAGATTCTGGCCTGTCAGATTAATGTAAATGTACTGATACTGCTGGAGCTTGTCTAAATTTCAGTCATTTCACCGAAGAGCAAAGACGGGTCAAGCAAGACTGTTGTAAGTTAATGAGATTTACTCTCAGCAGCCTTTGTTTAGAGAGAGGTTTTAACAGTCCCAAGGCACCAGGCTGGAGTGGCTCTCGAAGGTGTTGTGTAACCTTTACACTTTAAAGAATTTGTTCTTCTCAGCATCTGCCTTTCACTTTAAAAAGTAATTTTAAAAAAAAAAAGACTGCTTCCTGGAAATGGGTAATGGGTTAGGCATTGTCTGTTCACAGGAGAATGGTGGGAAAATGGAAAATACCTTCTGGAGCAAACAGATAAATTAAACA